CCATCCTCTCACAAGCACTGTAGGCTGGCCCCTGAGGCAGCCTCGCCCTGCAGCTGTGCTACTCTGGGTCCTAGCAACTGCTTCTCTGTCCCTTAAAAGGAGACTTGACTTGGCTACCCAGTTCCACGCCCTCCCATTTTCCCCTCCCCCACCCCCACCTTGTTAAACAGACCCTTTATTAAACCGTACACACAGAGCTCCCTCCGCCCTCCGCGGGAACTCCGGATCCAAACAAGAAACACTCCTCACTGTGGAGTGCTGCACCCTGAACTGTGTGACACAGCACTTTCTCCTGGGTCTGTCATCATTCAACCCATAGCTCCGTGCGGTCAAGCATGAGCCTCAGAGAAGCGGAAAAAATGCCTACCACATCCCACAGCTGGCGAGCAGAACCATACGAAACTGTGGTCTGTCTGACTTAGGAGCCGCACTCTCAACCCCTGTGCCTTCTCGTCCCCAGTTTTGGGTTAGGTGGAAGCCATAAAGCACCCCAGCTTCCTCATTAAGACTCCAACGGAGGTTAGATTAAAACAACAACCATACTACATTCGAAAGACCCACAGTCTAAATTCTGCATTACCACAACCCTAAGGGTCAACCCTTATCCTGACACCACACTGAAGGCATAATGCCAAGCTCACTGTAACCAGCACACTACCGTTACACTGAAATAACATCACCCTAACCACAACCCTAGTCCTCCTAATCTTAGCCTGAAATCCCCCACCTTAGCCGGAAATCTAGACCCACTATTAAAGTGCAAGGAACTCTGGGGACCCTCTCTACTCTTTGCTCCCAGGAGTTGCCTAACTTGTCCTCATTTATACTCCAAGGGCACAAGTGATTAAACAACATGTGTACAACATCTACTCCCTACCTAACACTAAGCTGGAGACTTTCATGCAGGAATCACAAGGACAGTCAACAGTGGGGGTACAGTGAGTCTTGATGGTGGTGGTGGTGGTGTGGTGGTGGTGGTGGTGGTGGTGGTGGTGTGGTGGTGGTGGTGGTGGTGATCTGTAGCCTTCACCACTGACCTGCAGGCTGTAGGCCAGTAGGAGGCCAATAGTTTGACTCTCAGCATTTGTAAAGGGCTGGGACTGGGCCTTGAAGAATCCTTGCAGTAGTTTGTGATTAGACTGTCCCTCTATAATCTGTGTGTTAGAGGCTTGATCTCAGGGTGGTGCTATTTGAAGTTGGTAGGATTTTTTGGAAAGGGTAGGGGGTGAGGGACTAATGGGAGGCCCTTCAGTCACGGGTGGGAAGAGATACAGCATCAAGGGGGATCTTCCTCTTCATCTTCTGCTTCCTAGCCATGAAATGACCATGCTTCACCACACTCCCTCTGGCTTGGCAGCCAGAGGTCTGAAGCAGTGGATCTGCTCCATGTTGGACCAGAATTTACAAAACTATGAGTCAAAAATAAACCATTTCTTCTTATAAGTTAACCACCTCGGGTATTTTGCTATAGTGATGGAGAGTTAAAACCAAAGCTATGCCGGAGACCTGCTAGTCCTCAGCTCTGAGAGGTCTTAGAAAGGAGAAATACCCAGATTGCATCAGGGATTTGGGAGTCTCCTTGGACTAGATGTCCTCATTTGGACTTACAGGTGGGAAAAGGAAGAGAGGATTATGGGAAGTATAATTTGACTGTCTGCTCCCTGAGGGTAGCAGATGGATTCTGGGAGACTCCTGGTCGTTGCTCTTCTGAGCAAGCTGAGGCTTGCCTCAGCAACCTAGACATGTCTGCTCTGGGTCAAGTATAGCAGGAGGAGATCCCTTCCATCGTTCTCAAAACTGTTCCCTGAACCCCAACCCAGTCAAAGCTGGATTACCTGACCTGGAGTACATCTGGGTTTCACTTTGTAGTTCTGGCTGATCTGGAACTCTCTATATAAACCAAGTTGGCCTGGAACTCACAGAGATCCACCTGCCTCTGCCTCCGGAGTGCTGGGATTAAAGGCGTGCACCACCCGACAAGCCCAGTCTTTTTATATTTTACACAAGTGCACCCCAAGGCCAGTTCTGCCCTGCCCAGGGCTGGACTCTGTAAGTCTCAGATATCTCTGTTTGCTGGTTAGATGCTAACATGACAGAGGCCCAGAAATCCTTCCACCATTCAGGGAGTCTAGAGAGAAACTCGGGGGTCAAGTCCAGCTGAAGAAGACTAGCTTGAAGCAGCATGCTTTTCAGGGGAAATGGGAGACAGCGGCTTCCCTTCTCACCTCTCCTGGGAAGAAACCAAAACTAGAATCACACATCAGTTGCATTGGGCCACAGGCTGTACAACTGTGCCGGACTAGAGCAGTGTTTCCAACCACCGGGTCACTAGGGAGGGGGTGGAGGGTCAAAGGACCCCCTGTAAACCTTCAGCTGGCCTTTCTACACTTGGACAACTGCCTCTGCTAACAGCAAGGAAGTTCTCAGCTGAAATGAGAGAGAGAGAGAGAGAGAGAGAGAGAGAGAGAGAGAGAGAGAGAGAGAGAGGTATCTTTTCCAGAGCAGTAAGTCATTGTACCTGGGAAAATAAACCCTTTCCACTGACTTATCTTCTCTCGTGTGTGTGTGTGTCTCTCTCTGTCTCTCTGTCTCTGTCTCTCTCTCTCTCCCAACGTTTTTCTCTTCTCTACTCAAGTCCTTGTGGCTTATGGCTACCACACTAAACACTGAAGTCAGATACCACACAAAGCTCCCTACTCAGCTGGTCTCGTTTCATCCTCCTGGCGATCCTATCAGACAGAGACTATTGATTCCGAGAGATTAGGATGTGTACCTAGTGTCACACAGATGGTGAGTGTAAACTCAGAACAAGAGTCAAGGCTTATCTGAATCCCAAATCCAGGCACTAGCATCCAGGATACTGAAATGTGGTCTATAGACCAGCACATCAGCTAACATCACCTGAGACCACGTAAGAGACGCTTGCTGCAGACTGTGGAATCAAAAGCCGTGTATTGACAGGTTCCCAGAGGTCAGCTTTGAGGTTAGATCCTTGTCTAAAGCAGTTTCCCATAGCCCACGTGTCTCCTGTAACCAGCCCCATCTCCTGAAGCCCTTGCTCAGTTGGTACGCAGGTGGGCAGGCCCCCTGCCCAGCCAGGGACAGCAAGGCACATTGGTCTCCATGGACATCCTGCCTGCTGCTGTGACTTTCCAGGACCCTCCCTCTCATCTACCTTTAAGTGTGCATCTAAATGGTGCACATGTCCTAGCCTCTGCCTAATGCTCTTCTGAAAGGGCTTTGGCCGTCACAGTTCCTGAAGGGTTGTCCCTCCCCAGACATCTCACCCTCCCTCCTACTCCTAGAATGTCCTCTGGGTCATGTCACTCCTTTGTCTGGACAGGCAGAGCCTGTCCAAACTGCTATCAGGACAGAGGCCAGCAGCTGCTTGAGAAACCTGGCCCGGTTCACAGGAAATGTTTAGCACTACCAGGCATGCGGGATTTGGCCTCTCAAAGCAAAACACAGCTGGGTGGACAGCAGCCGGCAGTGGGGTGCTGAGACATGCCCAGATTTCATGCATGGAAGCCTCAGGGCAGAAGGGGATGGGACTGGCCTAGAGGACGCAGTGCGTTAAGGACACCACAGTATCGTCTGGCCTGAAAGTCTGTGGAAGTTGAGGATGGCCCCACGGTGGGCCAAAGACTTCACTCAGCCTTTAGCTTCTGATGGTTCCTACACCAAGGACAATATCCCTAGGATACAAAATACACATAACCTAGACTTCTCACCTTGCACCATTCATTTACAAATCCACTGAGCACCTATACTGTGTCAGGCATGGTGTTAGATGTCAGGGGCAACGCATTCATGCACAAGCAGGAACAAGTAGCCTTGCTCTCCGAGTGGTCCCACTTTAAGGAACAATGAACGGCCTATCTGGAGGAAGTGTGAAAGTGATATAGAGGGAAGCATGGTCCACAAGCTGGCATCTGGCATGTGCCCTCACGTAGGCCTATCTGCCTGGGGCTCACAACCTATAACAACCAGTGCAAGGGCCAGGCCCCGCCCACCAGCTCACAGCCAATCCCAGGCCCTCTGTATTGTGCACCCAGACCCTTGGCTTTGCCCTAACATCTGCAGGCCTTGGCTGTAGATGACTACTGGGTTTTGATCTGGAGCTCCCTAAGCCTCAACTTGAGCTCACCTATCCTTTCTCCCTGTTTCTGGCTGCCCTTGGAAAGCACATATCTGGGTGCTCAGCCCCCCAACTCTCCTAAGCATGCCTTGCTACCTCAGAGTAGCCTGCCTGGGGCTCCTGCTTTCAGTTGCGGGGTAGCTCCCGCCTCTCCTTCCTCCTCTTCCTGCTACTCAGCGGGTCTCTCTGGACCTTTCCGACTAAGGACCTGACCTCAGCGGTCAGCCTTCCCCTCCTCCTGGTTCTCTTGGCTCCGAGAGGGCAAATCTGTTTTCCCCTTAGTTCAGCAAGACAAGCTGGGCTGCAACATTTCCGAAAGAACTCCCTAAGTAGATGCGAACGGAAAAACCAACCTAGACGGCTCAACGCAAACAGCCTCCTAGAAAGGGACCAGTTTACAAAGTTCAGATTTCCTGTCCTAAGCGAGAAAAAGGTCTAGCCAGATTTGGGGTGGGGGAAAGGGCAAGCAGGGCAGGGATCGTTGCCCGTCGACTCCCCTTGCTGATTTTAGCCTATTCACTTTCCCCACATGCGCCTCCTCCTCCCTCTAAGAGGAGAAGTTTGGAGGTGAGTGAACAGAATGGGGTTTCTTTATTCTAGTGAAGGAACATATCAACACCATAGAGAACACCGGAGTTGAGGGGGGGGGGGGAGTGAGAGGGGATGGAGGAGGGGATGGGGTAAGGATAAAGGGGGGATTTGTAAAGAGCTGATACACGAGCTCAGTGCTATTCCGAGCACATATAGTCACTCATTTAATCCTGACAAATCCGTGACATAATTGTTAGGTTTGTTGCCTCCTTACTGATGAGTGACTGTCCCACAGCCCCCCACCCCCACCCGCCCCCAGAAGGAGACTTACCTGGCTGGTGGTGGTGGTGCCGGCAGCTGTATTCTGGTCACAAGACTTCCTCTGGCTTCGCTGTTCCTGTGAGGGCTGGGTGCCCCCGCCACTGAGCGTCTCGGCACAGGCCTGGCATTCTGGGGGTCAAATTCCTCCTCAGGGATGACTTCTTCACAGCGTGCCCCGCGGAAGCCAGACCGGCAGACACAGAGCTGGGGCCTGCTGCAGGAGCCCCGGTTCTGACAGGGAGGCTGGCACACAGCTGAGGAGACAGGAAGAGAGCGATGACAGCAGGGCCAGGGACCATAAGGCCGTGCGCCACCCACCAGTCTTACATCCTAGGGGCTTCTGCCCCAGGGAGAGGACCTGGCCCGGCCTCTCACGGACATGGAAAGCCCAACACCTAGCCTTAGAAGGCTTCTGGGACCATTTCTCTCCCTGCTACCCACAGGTCTCCAGGCTGAGTATGGCTTTGAGTTTTGGACAAGAGTTATTTGTGGAGTGGGCTCTCAGCACACCACCAGAAGGGACCCTGAAGGGAAAAGGACCACCTGGCATCCTCTTTATGCTTAGATGCCCACTCCTATTGGGCTACAGAAACACCAAGTACAGACTTTTTTTCTTGTCTTCTAATAGCTTCAGAACTTAAAAATAAAGATTGTTACTGAGTAAATTATCAAGAAATATTGAATGAATGAGTGAATGAATGAATGTCTTTATAGGAAAGGTTTGGCACTAGTCTAAAAGCCAAATGTTTGTTGTTTGCCTGTTTGTTACGAGCTATACAACCTAGACCTCACTGAGCCTATTTTCTGGAGAATCACCAGGGTGGGCTGAGGAGGGTAGGGGAATCTAAGGGCCTCTAAGATATCACCCCCAATCTGTCTGTATCCTCTGATAACCCCGCTCTTTATCTCCAACTCAGGAAGACAGAATTCTGGCTTGGGCATTGGGATGATTCTGCCCAGTGGGTCCTAATCCAGCCTAGAGACAGGGTGGAGGCTGAAACTAGGTGTTTTCTTGTAAGCTGGTTCTCAACCTGGGGGTCAAACGACCCTTTCACAGGGGTCACCTAAGACCATCCTGCATGTCAGATATTTACATTATGATTCATAACAGTAGCAAAATTATAGTTATGAAGTAGCAAAGAAAATAATTTTATGGTTTATGGTTGGGTGTCACTACAACATAAAGGGTTAAAATGTTAGGAAGGTTGAGAACCCCTGCTCTAAGCCTTCATTATGAGCAGCTGCTAACCCTTTAGGGCATGACTTCTCTCTTCACTGGCCTTTCCCACCTTACAAAGGCCAAAGACAAACCCAATGATCTGCAGCCACCCAGAATCCCCTGCTGAGGTCCCCATTGGGGTACAAAGCCAAGCCACTTTCTCCAGGACCTCCGTGGAAAACAGGTGTGAGCCCGTGATCTAGGTCATTCCGGGCATTCTAAAACAAGGTCTCATCTACCTGCCTTTCACTCACTCAGGAAGTAGTTGCGGAACCCTACTGAGGGCTCCACCATGAAGACTAAATCATCTTTCACACGGTGTTTGCACTCCAGTGAGGGAGAAGCCAGAAGCAAGAGAACAACAGTATGACGTAGCGTCAGGCGGACAGAAGGGTGATGCGGTGTTCCAGGCCATTCAGATGAAGTAGCCCAACACTTCACTGAAGAGGGAGGAGTAGCAGTGGGAGTGAACTGGAAAGATCTGAGCAGACTTCCAGAGGCAAGCACATAGTCCTGGAGGCTAGAAGGAATGTGGCATGCTGGGGGAGGTGCAAGGGGTCCATGGAGGTTACAGGCTGGTGGGGATGAAGGGAGTAGGCAAGGTCATTCAAGGTTGGGGAGGAAACAGAGACCTTGTTGCCTCAGTCATTCTAAGTACATTTTAGAAACCACCAGACGCATGGCTACTCAGACCACATGCCTCGGGGAAGGGTTCATGGGAAATCCCTCTGAAAGGAATTCCATATTCCAACCACAGGCCAGTTTAGATGAAACTCTGTGATGGTATATTTTGGTTGTTAGCGTGACTGGATCTGGCCAAATATAAGGAGGTCCACTGCTACCATCTAGGTAAGTCTCCTCCTGGGTTAGAGGGAGATAAACTACTGAGCACATTTGTAAGACATTTTCTTGATCCAGTTAAGTTGAAGTGAGAAGACCTGAAATGTGGATGGCGTCTTCCAGCGGCAGCCGGATATAAGGAGGCCAAGGGAAAGCTTTATTCTTTGCCTGCTTGCCTTCTGTTGTCTTGCTGGCAGGTTCATCGACCCTGCTGTGTCTTGAGCTCATCTACTCTGCTGCTGCTCCCAATTCTTCACAGGAATCAGAACCCAGTGTGGACTGAAGACCTGTGGTTCTCCAGGAACCCTCCAGACCTTCACTGCTGGATGGGGACCACTGAGGCACCCAGCCTCGTGGATTGAGCTGCTACTGGGCTGTCAATCTCTTCAGTGTGAAGATAGCTGTTGTTAGACCACCCCAACAGTATCATGCAAGCTAATTTAATAAAGCCTTTTAATATATGTTCATTCTATTGGTTCTGTTCTCCCAGAGAACCCTGGCTAATATACTCTCCAAAATTCTCGTCCATGCCATCTCCCTTTGGGAACCTTCAGCTTCTTTACCCCAACTGAGGACCTCCTAACTCTGGCCTCTCGAACAACACTTGAAGTCAACCCACTGTGGTTGAACTTGCTTTCTGGCTTCCTACCTGGCCACTTGCCTAAGAGCTACCATTCCCTCAAAGTCACCTCCCCATCCCCGATGACCCATCTTTCAGTGGCTGCCTCCCTGCTCTTTTGAACAAAAAGCAAAAGCACTTCCTGAGCATGCCACTGACTGAGCTCATCCGCGGATGGGTTTCTCGGTTTCATGTGTGGTGTCTCAGTATCCCCATCTAAACAGTTAACCCTTAGGAAGGCAGTGATCTTTAGCTCCTAGCATACAATAGCACAACCATCTTCTTCACTCTGGCAGTTACTCTCCAGTGGGTGCTGACAATACAGAATCTCATTTAATCCTCTCCACAATCCTTTGCAGCAGGTATGATTACAATTTCTATTTTACCCATAATGGCTATGAAAGTCATGGAGGTTCAGAGACTTGCCTAAGGTCACCGAGCTAGATAATGAAGGCAGCGTTCAATCTTTGACTAAACAGCCCATCCTTACTCTCACCCACCAACTCCCAGTAGGACCTGTGTGGCTCTTTTTCCTACAACCTCTGAGCCCTGGCTTGGAACATGATGAGACAAAAAGGATGCATTGGCTTCAAATTATGCACCAAGGGGGTCATTGGAAGGAAGCCCAGCCCTGGGGAAGATGCACATCCCAGGTTGGCCCTGGTAGGTAATGGAGGCTCCAGGCCCATTTGCCCTTCTAAAGAAAGCCACGTGATAAATTTCAAATTTTGAGGGAAGATGTGTGCCAGCTCATGCATCTGCATTGGTAAGTATTCTTTTCAATGTACTCACAAGGTCAGCTATACTTATACAGAAAGGACACACAGGTCCAGGGGGCAAGTGTTATGTTGGCCAGAGCCTCTAACTCGGGCTGGTTTGAGTGATGGTTAGGGAAGGTTTCCTAGAGTAAGTGATGCTGACCAACCATTCAAAGGATGAGATGATTGGAAAGCCTGCCCATCAAGGTATTCAAGGGCCAGGTACCCAATCGATAGGTAGTTAGGGGAGTAACAGGAAGACAGCTGAAGGACTCTAACCATGAACTGGATCCAAGGTATCTTCTTTGGTTCCTCGGTGCCCTTTCTAACAGGTCCCTGGTCCCCATGTAAGCAGGTAATTCCAGAGAATTGTAAGTCAAATCCTTCCCCAAACACAAACTGCCACCCCAAGATCTTAGCCAACGCCTAAGACATCATTCCACCTCTCCAAATATAACTAGCTACCACCTGCCCACCTGCCCAGGCCCCTATATGCTGAGGACAGCTTAGCAGGCAAACGCTGAGGAAGGCAGATATGCCCTGGGCACATCTTGAACCTGGTTTTCTTTTAGGAATGGAGAAGCCATGTGGGCCCACACCTCTCCTCCAGCAGAGACCCCAAACCTAGCATGCATGAAAGGAGGGTCATAAAGCTCCCACCTTTGAGCAAATGATACTTGCGTCAAAGGTGGGCTGTATTTGTTTGTTTGTTTGTTTTTAATTTTTTGTTCTTTTTTTTTAATTTTATGTGCATTGGTGTTTTGCCTTCATGTATGTCTAGGTGAGGTTGTCAGATTCCCCTGGAACTGGAATGATAGACAGCTGTGAGCCACAATGTGGGTGTTGGGAATTGAACCCAGGTTCTCTGGAAGAGCAGTCAGTGCTCTTAACCGCCAAGCCATCTCTCCAGCCCCCCCCCCCGAAAGGTGGTTTTTGATGTAAGATGGCCTTGATTCTCTCCCTCCCCTCCTAAGCCTCAAGGATGACCCATCCTTGATGTTAACAATAACGTCTTTCACTCTCTGGAAATCTGAGACTCCCAGCCCTGCAAGCCAAGCCCCTGTGCCTTTTCCCACTGCTCGTTTCTGGTTCTGCCTTCTTCCACAAGGCTGCCAACTTCTGTGAACACTCTCTTGACCAGTACTGAGGGTCTGGAGATCGGTGAGAGCAGCTACACACAGAGGAAACCCCATCTGGTGGGGGTCCTGACATTTCTGGAAGGTCTTTTCTCAACCAGGAATCCCATTCTGTGGAGGACTTCGGTTGGTCCGATGGACGGCTCACAGGGAATGAGTGGTCAGGAGGGAAACTGGATATATCATTTTCTCTGTCTATTATCTCACCATAAATAAAAGTCTTGAGACTTCCAGCTGTGTTGATAGATAAACACCCTCCTGGGAAGGTGACCTTGCCCAGTTTGCTGAGGCAGACTGTCCGTATCAGGAGGGTCTGAGGTTTTGAACCAGCTCTTACCAGCTTCCTAGCAGCCTGTCTTGTGTGGTTTCCATTCGTCACGTGACACACTACAGTGTCTAATTTGCTCTGAGCCAATCACATGTATTATGAGACTGGATCATGAACTCTTTTCTTCCCTACAAAGGCACCGCTAAATGGCTCACATGGGTGGCTCCCATCGGCTGTCTAAGAAAAGGAAAATTCCGGCAGTTTTTATTTTTATTTATGTTCAGTGTGTGTGTCTACAGTATGGACGGGATGCAAGCATAGAGGTCAAAGGGCAACTTTGCAGAGTTGCTTCTACGTTTTCTTGGGTTCTGGGGATCAAGAGGTCATTAGGCTTGGGTGGCAAGTGACCAGCCT